GGGGGGGGATGCAAAACGAGGGAGAGAGGTAGGAGCATCCAGGCAGGCTTACTAGGCATTAAGCTCAATTAAACAGGAAGCTTTCAGTAATCATAGAATCCATCCATTACACATAAACCAAACAATGGAAATGACGCGAGAATGGCTGGCCCATACATTGCATATATATGACATGTTTGTTTCGCTTGAAAGAGCCGGTCCAACTTCAACCAGAGACTGAGGTAACATGATCAGCACAGCATCTCTCAGGTTTTAAGTCTGAGGATTCGTAAGTCATGACTGGAACGACGAATCTGACTCCAGAGCGGAGTGGGTCAATAAATATTTACATACAAAACATGAAGTACCTGAAACAAGAAAAAGCAATGTCTTATTCAATGGCTAAAAGGTTATCTTCCGAACATGACAGCTTACCTGTACCCATTTCAGCAGCAAGTCTACTTCATCAGATGTGTCCAAAAGCTTCAGTGGTGACAAGCTCCTCTGCAAAGCACACATGAAAAGATGGCTTTCAAGTAACTCACTTGCTCTCACACGTACCAGGTATTTAAACATGCTATCAACATGAGTAGTAGATGTCAGTAATCCAGAAGATTTCCGAGCACTAAAGCAGTTTCCACTTCACAGACACCTGACATTCATGCACGAAGTGCATACAGTGCAACAACCAAGCGCCCTATCTTATGGCTAGCATTTGTGTGACTGGTATAAATTGACAATTTGGTGCACTACCTCCTTAGAAGACAAGCTGTGCTGCCTTCGTCTCTCAAGAAGTCGAACCTTCGCTATCTCTTCCATCACTCGCTCCTTGCACACAAGCTGGGGAATCTGCACAGGGTAAGGAGATGAACACCTAAATTTCGTCAAATGATTTATTCCTTAGGTAATTCTCAAATACATATCTGTGTGATTCTGTGGTTAATTAAACAGGCCCGCCCTTGGGATACACTCCACAGTGTTTCCTCAATCACTTAGACATCAGAAAAAAAACTTTTCAGAGGCAGGGGAAAAAAAAACAAAATTACGAAAACAGACTATTTCCTCGAGGGTAATCCCGTCCAAGTGACAGCTTTCGAGCGTCTAATAAGAGCGTTCTTTGTACACCTAAGTTCGGCATAACTAGGGTCCGAACGAGTTTAATACCGTCTAGAGAAAACCTGCATTTCAGTTAACCGCATCCTTGTCCATTCTGAGGAGCGTCAGGTCAGTGACCATTCCACTGGCAAGTACAAGGATTGAGAACAATAAAACCCCCACCACGCTGCCTTCCGTCTAGGTCGAAGGACCCCTGACCTGCAATTATTGCTCCCAGGAGGATTACCTTTCAGGTTCTTTTGCCTGAAGGAAAGAATTCCTCTCAATCTCACTTCGTGCTCAGGTTGCCAGAACAGCTTGATTACAAGAACAGTATGCCTAATGAGTTGTCTTGGCTACCAACAAAAAACCTATCTTGCCCCGCACTGAGGTGGTGTCCCATTTATTCTACCTCATCTCTGTTTTCATCTTGAAGCCACAGTGGGTCTTTGTCCGCTCTTCGCCATCAATCGTGAGCATGCATCTTCTCTTCCAAACAGTCCAAAGTATAACTTGCCTAAGTACGGAGCACAAGCACCTCGCTGTACCATGTATGTAGAGTGATTCTGATGGCTGGCTGGGTTGTTATTTTGGACGTGGGGTGGGGGATAGTGAAAAGGGAGAACCAGAGTTTGAAAGTCGGGCTCCAGAACCAGAGGGCCACTGAACATTTCATTCGGCAGTGGGTTATGTCCTCTTCTATGTTGAGTGTGCATATTTTCCAAAGCGGAGAGCTATACGGGTATGAACGGTTTCTACATCCGTGCATTGTTAGCAGGGAGAGCCACGTAGGCTATGAGCCATTGGGGGCTACATATTTTAGTCAATTTGATTCTTTCGTATTTTTTCCAAGGGATAACAATTCCTTCGTCCAGCTTGAAATGTTCGGAGCAGTGTCTCTAGGTTTCAGTCCTAGCTCACGTGAATTTCCTGCAATAGCAGGGACACCAACTTTAGAAGTTTTTTTCTGCAATAGGCATGTACCTCTTTGGGTTCTTCTGGTCCTGACAGCATTCTTTGGGTCTCATTCCAAATCCTCAATGCCTTTGCATGGTTAGAACAGCACCCAGGACTTCGATCTTGTCACTCTTACTTTCCTCAGCAGGAAGGTCTCTACTTGCGTGGTTTCCAAGTCCTGAATTAGGATCTGATAATCTCGTTTTTGTGTCGTGGCCACTGGGTGGCATACCACCACATTCTTTTTCCTTTTTTCTTTTTTTTTAAATAAAATGCGGGGTTGTCTTCTCCTCATATGGGGGGCAGCCGCATCTTTTACTATTCTATCAGCTTCTCTCAGCATTGTACCTCCCACTACCTACCCTGGACAAGCACGGGATCAGCCGTACTTTTACAAGAGCCCATTCACACACCAAGGGGAACTGGGGTCTTAGACTACAGTCAAAGGCTAGGGTTTAAGGCTACCTTAAATTTGCTAACCAGGACTCAGGTATCCTAACGTTATGGGTCTACGCTTACCTACCTCTGCTCTGTGCCAGGGAGTAGCACCCAAGCTCCCATCACCTGGTGCGGGCTGGACAGAACCCAAGACTCAACTTCCACAACCAGTTAGGAGGGACAAGCCGACTTTCCCAGTCTGTGAACCCGAAGTATGTCGCACGGGGGATCGTGCAGAATCGCAAGGATGCCGTGGGGAATCAAACACATGACCTCCTCCTGTGTACCACTTACGTGCTCAACCAACTGAGCTAGGCCGCTTGGCCTCATACCACCTCATTCTAGTGTGCCCGCTCAATGGTTTTTCCAAAATGATCTGTGCCTGTGATTAATGCTCTTCGGAATCTTCCTGTATTGAAAGGTATCTCTGGGTGCTTAAGGCCATATGGGAAAGTGGATCTTTGAGTCGCATGTTTGCACCATCTTTCCAGGCCGAACATCATTTTCATGCAGTTGGAGTGCCATATAATTTAACACCTCACCCAATGCCCAGCTGCACTGTATGCAATCGTCCAACGCCAGTCCATCAAGTTATCACTTGCAATTCCTCAAGCTAAAAAAGAACTTTGGCCAGCCAGCTCAACACTTTGGATAAAATAAAGTAATATCTAAATCGAGTGTCTGCTTCCTCTTCATTACCACCATGGCTCTGTCAGAGTATACCGTCTAATCCTTCACTGGGACAGAGGCCTCAGGGCAAAGTCGTACTCATCTAGGAGTACTGTGACAGAGGCATTCAAGCGAGCGAAGTATAGAGACTTAACGATGCCAGTGTCCAAACTTTTCAAATAAAAAAGACAGCACATTCATCAGATATTCACTGGGGGCAGACTCAGGCCAAACAGTTTGGGTGAGGAGCCTATGGTGCTACATTCATTCTTGGAAAACATGTACTTGGCCATAATAGAGGCCATGTCCGTGCTTCCATAGCATGAACATAGCACCCCTGGGGCCGGCATACATTCTCAGAGCTTCTCAGCTTCACACACCTGCCACTTCAGCATTATCCGCCACAGGAGATCTATGGTCTTCTCTCTCTTGCACTCTGCCAAATCAGCAGGATTGATGCCCCCAGTTGCCATACCTGCATCCCGCAGGGATCGAAGGACTAGTTCCCAGTTGAAAATACTTGCTATCTTCGACGTCACCGGTACCCTGAGTTTCTGCAATATTTCAAAAGAAAAAATCAGCAATTAGAAATATGTCTGTCCATCTGTCTCCCCTGAATTATATGGCACCATGTTTGATGTGTCCCATAGGCCCACCGGTTCAGGGGCTGGTACCCAGAGCCGCACCGGGTGTGTCAATCTGCCTTCTGACCGACCTGCTGTCATTTTTTTGGTGGCTGCGAAACCAGGTCCTACCGGCCGACCAATTGGCAATCCACCCTAGCCCAGATTTCTTTTTTGATTGCCCCATTAAACCTCCACTGAATTGGGGCGTCTTTGGACAGCACGACACAATGTCACACAAGCACATAAGCAATCCCACCATGTGGAGTTATGGCCACGACCGGTTGACAATTGTGCCGCACAACACCGTGTAGCATGAGAAAAATTATGCTGCAAGGTGTGAACAAACAAGTGCTGAAGCAGAAGCGAGCAACTGGCTGTTCTGTTACGCAAAAAAAAACAAAAGACTTCTTCTTCTGTCTGTCTGCCTTTCTGCCTGCCTGCCAGTCTGTCTGTCTTTCCACCTGTCTTTCTGTCTGTCCGCACTCTTCATCACCATCACCTGCAAAGAGTCATCCTACATGATTGGCAGTGGTGAGGGCCGGCCCTCCAGAACAGCGGCCAGGAGCAATCACCTGACGAAAACACATGTTGCAAGATGAGAAATGAAGAACAAAGCAATAGAATCATTCAAGAATTCTTCTTAACACCGTTTGTGGCCATACTAAGGCCAGAAGCAGTCGAAAACGTCCTGGCATGGGTATGCCCTTGTCTGATGTCCAATAGTATGTACAGCCGAATGAATCGCAAAGGGCAAAGAGAGTTCGTCTGAGATCAAGCGGTATGATGCACAAACTGAGGGCTAGGTCACACGTAAGATCTATCGTTAAACTTTGAGCAACAGGTAATCCAAGTGGCATAGCATACGCTCAGGTCTTACAGGTACTCCGACTGAAATAGCAGAGTCGCTGGTACAGAGAGCTGATATAGTACGTAGACGATCTAGGCCAGGCTCTGTTACCTTTCTGAAGAAGGTAACATGAAAACTATTGCCCGTTTGCCTTTCTGGAAAGTTTTACGGAGGATTGGGTGTTCCAAACACCATTAATCTTGGACAACTCTGGCCAATAGGCAGTACTATTCAAATGCCATATAAGGCCACATCAGAAGTCAAAATTCTCAAATCTGCTGCCTATTTCCTAAACCTGCAGTCTGCTCACTATGCCACTGCCTATCAACTTACCCCGGATTCGGTCAAATTTAGAGCATGCCCCCATGCGGTATTTTCTAAACACATATTTAGGTCCCTGATTCACTACCTTATAACGTTATCACCCACAACAGCTAACCCAACCCACAACTGCGATAGGGCTCAGCTGTTTGCACGGTGGTACAGTGAATCAAAACAAAAGGTGAGAGTCCGTGAGAGTGAGAAATCATAAATCAAAAAATAATATAATATGATATGGTGTTATGTAATATAATGTAATATAATAATGCATAATAAATAAATAACTAGACTTCCTGAGCTGCCCGGCCCGGCGTGCACGGCAGGTGCACGGGTCAGCCATGCGAGCTATTTTTTATTAAACAAGTAATATAATATGATAAAATGTTATGATATAATGTTATATAAAATAAACGATCGACTAAACAACTACATTATAACCGGGCTTCCAACCAGGGCCTCTCGGGTCACCTTGGTTGCCTGGGCGGCCTGACCGGGCAAGGGCCAGGTAAGGTCCCTGCAAAAATAAGACTAAAAAAACGACATCCGAAAAAAAAACTCCGTTATGCAGAAAATAAACTGAACAACTTTTTTCCCCAGCGTCATGTCGATATTCTTTACCAGAAAACGAATCACGTCTTTTTTCACCTCCTATTTAAAGCTATTTTTAGTTTTACTGGACCCAGCCTGTCAAAAAGTGGCCCTCGGCCACTCTGGTAGCCAGACTACATACTAAAAATAACAAAAACATCCCAAAACACGTCCCACGACATGCAGAGAGGCCCATGATCCAGGCTGGCCATGCAAAGGTCAGTATGTAGAGAGTAAGAGTTTCCTGCCCAGAATAGCCATCACTTTCCCGAACAAGCAACAAAAATAGACCCAAAAAAAATCTGTTTTTTTCTTCACAAAACCCCTTGTGACCAGCCAGACCACGCATCCGTCCGAGCATAGCCTTATTTTTTCGAACAAGCAGCAGACAACACAGTTGTGACCAGCTTCCAGAGTCAGGCCAGGAGGTATTGTTGTTTAAGGAAATCGGGAGTTGTGGAAAGTGTCCTTCAGGACATCTGTTAAAATTGGAACGATACAGAGAAGATTAGCATGGCCCCTGCGCAAGGATAACACGCATAAATCGAGAAATGGTCCAAATGAAAAAAAGTGGAAAGCAGGGCTGCAGGAGTTGCTGAAACATTCCGACAAGGAAAGAACGCAGAAATCGGACTGAAATCTAACCTTATGAGACTCGTACCTTGACAGATAATCAGAGGGTCACACATGACATAAAGGACCTAAGATCAAATCTGAGAGAGGTACAACACACACACACACACACACACACACACACACACACACACACACACACACACTTCCCCTCATTACAGCCAGTGGGCTCGAGAATGCTCCCCAGACTAGAATGGAGCCGTTCTTTATCTCAAACAACAAAAAAAAACATAATAATAATGGAGGGTGAGATGGACTACAAACCTCAACGATACAGAAGAAACATGATGCTAGCCCTCGTTAGATTATCGTTCTAGTAAAGCTGAGGAAAGGGAAAGTTGGACTCAAACGGAAATATGTACAGATTAAGTTGATTAACACCAAACCACCTTCAATGGATGACAGAGGCCATTAGTTCTAGTAAAACGGAAAACTGGATTTCATCCCCTACCTCAAGGAGGCCACAATTGCCTATCAGCATCTCTGAAACCTTTGCCACGCAAATGCCATTATGCAAATCCACTGCCAAGTCCTTTATGTGAAAATTGAACTCAAGAATCGGAGCCTGCAGACAATGGATACCAGTCAAAACACTCAAAAGTCCTTTCAAAGAAGAAGGGCAGACAAGGCTCTGAAAACTGCAAAAATGATGAATGCTGTCAATTTGTCAACTAGTCACAGGATGGTTTATAAAAAATGGCCTTCCACACAGCAAAAGACCCAAAACTCTCTCTCTCCTGTCTCTTATACACATCTAGATGTGTATAAGAGACAGGAGAGAGAGAGAGAGAGAGAGAGAGAGAGAGAGAGAGAGATTTCCAGTGGGAGTGCGAGCCACTGTATGTTGAGCCAGAGCAAGCATCAGCAAACGCATTGCACCATCCAACTTTTGCCTCCAGACAGTGAAATGGTTTACTGATAAATCACATGAGCAGCCCCCTGCCAACACGACCATGCAAGAACAGCATATATGGGGGTACAACATTAGCCTGATGAACATTGAGATACAACGGAAAAGCAAGCAGCCAGTTTCTGAAGGCCTGGTCTTCCCAGACATTCTGAATGCTATGGGTAACCTGCCATGTCGTGGACAAGCGGAAAATGCATTCGCAATCTCATCAGCCAGTGGAAAGGGAACCACTATATTATCTCTGAAATGGAAGCATCCATAGATTGCATTCCCATTAAAGGAGGTACCATTGTTGCTGTTACTGTTCAAGAAGCAGGATGGGGCAGAGGAGGAGAGAACACGTACTGATACTTGCTGCTTGAACTCCAGAAGCCGGGAGCACAAGAACGCTGTGAACGCAATGACGATCTTCTCATTTGACGCCATGTTCCCCTCTGTCATGTCAGAGTGGACGAGAATCTGCAACAACCAAGAAAGGACAGAAGTGTATACGACAGCAAATTAGAGCTGGAGAAAGTCAGCATTGTTTCTTCGATGGGGTTCACAGTTCGGAAGGAATCAAATCAAGTAGAAGCAAAGACCTCGGACAACCATGTGTGCAACCGAATCATACTGAACTGGACTACTCATCTGGGTGAACTGCGTGGTGCAACAACATTGTTTAATTCGACTTTGTGCACAAAACAAGGAAGTTATGCAAACCGAGCCCATGGCTGTGGTGGGCTTGCATCTTCATGTCCAAGGTTGGCGCTAAGGCCCCTGAAAGGGGTGCCCATGGGTAGTGGACTTCATCGGATAGTATAGGCTTGGCAGCTGAAGTGGGAGAGGGCACCGAAGCATTTGCGTTGTCCTTTGAACATCCGAGGTACACTTGAATATAATGCCATAGTCAGATTCCAAGCTGGCAGGGAGGTGGAGGTCAAAGGAGGGCTATTTATGTTGCTGGCTGTAAGGGGAAGTAGTTAGATATTGATCCTTGCTCTTTCATTCATTTTCGTTGTCTAGTATTGTTAACAAGATGATAAAGGATGAGGGCAAGTTGAGATTGGTTCTTCTTCTTCTTGCCTTTATTCTTCTTCTTCCTTTGTCTCATTCTTCTCCCAATCTTCTTTCATTTGAGTGCAATTGAATGGCCTTTTCTCTTTGTGAGTTTGTGAGTTTTGCGTCGGGAGCTGACGCAGATCATAGAAATTTTGTGTCTTCTGAATGCTGCATAAGTGAGTCCACTGTGAGAAAAAGGAAATCGAAATATGCTGCATAAGTGAGTCCACTGTGAGAAAAAGGAAATCGAAATTCATTTCAATAACCTGCTTCGGTTGGCATAGAGACCAGCATAGTCCCGTCACAATGCACCAACCATCTAAAAGTTTGTAGGCGCATAATCTGCACTAGTTCCCCATGGTGCCCACATGGATTCTGACCGCAGGAACTATCCTGCTCTCACTGGAATAGAAAAAGCCATAAAACAATGTTTTCAGTAACCGGTCACCAAAAAGCAAAAAAAAACAAAAAACAGGTTCATGCTACTCTTCATAGTCCATCATACCTCCGGAATCCCGAGCTTCCTAACACAGCAATGAATTAGTTCGAAGTTCTTGACAGCAGCCTCCGTCTTGGCATTCTCGCATGCTTCTCTCTCCCGCCCACTCATTTCATATCCTACTTCCCAATGTGCCCTTCGTCTTCTTTGACCAGCATTCCCTGCCATCACCATCATCAGAGACTGTGCCCGCTGTGCACTTGTCAATCAACTTATATGCATAAAGAGCAATCAAGCATTCACTAGTTTGTGACAGTACAAAGCACAGTATGCACTTTCGCACATTCCACAATTTCAGATAGAGTCACCAACAAACGGCGTTAACAGTATTATGAGTGAATCAGTATCCAAAAGGGAAAGTTGCCAAGTTCCAAAAATGTCCTTGCAAAAGCTGCTTGATGTAACTTTCCGTTACATAGCAGAATGTGACCCAGACATCTGTATCACACAAGTGATGCACTTTACCAAGTGCCAGGCGCACCTCCAATTCTCTGTGTTTCCCTTGGAGTATCTGTGCAACCCTGTACAACCAGACAGTTATGATTTCTATACCTGGCAGGAGGTTTAATAGAGCACGCTAGCATACATTGTTTTAAGCCCGTAGAAACAAAGTAATAATTGACAGCTTCGGTCTCAGTCAGCATGGTACAAAGGGCTGGCTTGTAGCTGCGTAGCAATATTTGAGAATTTTAGTTTCAGTCAAGCATGGTACCAAGGGCTGGCTCATACCTACGTATTACTGTTTGAAGATTTCGGTCACAGTTCGGCATGGTACATCGGCCTGGGCTGTAAAAACAAAGTAGTATTTGACAGTTTCACTTACCGTCCAGTGCAGTAACGATTGCAGGCCGACAGCTAGATACTAGTGATGAGAATGTTGCTTCCCCCTTGAAGCGCGATGCAGAATACGATTTGAGCTCCCAGCCCAACAAGGACAATTTTTACTTCGAGGTTGAATGAATGGGGAAGCCTTTTCCACAACTCATTGCTGGAGAGGAGAAGCTAGTGCAGGTATACCGGACTTATTCTCTGAGAGCAGGTGGGGCCAGGTTTCAGGGAGTTTTCCTGATGTGCTCTGTCATGATGGACAGTGACCTCCAATCAAGTATGCATGTGCCCCAATCAGGTGTATGACTTACTTCGGCAAGTGCATGAGTGAAACTAATTGAATCCTACAACGAGACCGTCTTTCTATTTCGAGCTATCTGGAGCTGTTTCTTCACTATCTCCTATATTAATGATGTCCCAGTCACAAGTGAGAGCGGCGGATCTGAGAGCAGGGGAACCTTTGTTGGCGACCTTCCACTTACGCACATATCCTGTGTTACAGAAACACAATACCTCCTAATACAATACAAACAACTACAGAAATATCACGAGTATTTGAATATTCCACATTCCATAATTTTGTACACTGTGCATTCAACACTCAGCCATGTCTCCTGTTAACTTTTCAACAAAGGTTAACTCCTGGGTAAAGGCCACGGGAGCACAACTTTTACTTCCACAAGCTGTTACGACAGAGAGAGGGATTGGGAGGGGGGGGAGGGGAGCAAGAGACGGGGTGTAGCATATCAGAAAGTGAAATGCACTGAAAGCCTAGGATCTAGCAATGACGAAAGTGGCAACAACCAGCAGCATAGGTGCAACATTCACAAGGTGTCAATGTGCGCGACGCAAAGAGTGAANCACACACACACACACACACACACACACACACACGCATTTAAGAAATACCCTTCCACAACATAAACATTCAGCCCTCTCTCCTGGCCACCAAATGCTACTCATTCAGAATCGGCAACTTGACAGCAGTGATGGAAGGGCTTTTCTGCAGAAGACAGTGATTGACTTGGTTATATTGTTGTCTCCTATGTGCAGAGTAGAGTCGTCAGAGCGAGAATGATAAAATGAAAACGAAATTGCATGTCCGTCAGCAAAAAGGTGTTAATGCCACCACTGACCTGGACATAAGATAAATGGTAATTGAGCCGTCCAAGGTTCCGCAAAATGTCTCCTTCTCCCAAGAGGCAGTCAGAAAGGAACTCTGTCACACAGGCAGGAAATGAAATCATAGCCCATAACCAAAAAGCAGATAAGACGACGAAGATGAAACAGACAGACCGTTCGGCAAAACAAGTCAGGCTTTAGCATAGAGCCTGTTTTGATACCAGCAGATATGGATGAAATGATTTGGCCAAAGGGTGTCAGGGCACACTGACACTGCCATTGTAACCTGAAAATAATGCCTGGCCTTTTCCCCTGTTTCCCCTGTGGCCGTGGCTTCGAAGGGTAGGCCGGTACCGCACCCGGCAGGGGGGTAAATATGCAGGTACCGGAGGCCGAGCAGAAGAAGACAAAAGTGGCATTTTTAGAGGCCGGTAGTGTAGGCTAGGTCTAGCGGGTACCAGTCTGAGTCTAGGGCCTGTAGGGGCAATATCAGAGTCTGCAATGATGTTCCCTCCAAAAGGAGGAAGAGGTACCAGTTGCTTGGGAAGGCCAGCGGCCTGGAAGTCACCGCCCAAGAGGCAAAGCAGGCCGCTATATCTTCCGGCCGGGCGGAAGACCCGGCCCCTTTTTTGGTGTGCAAGTTTGGCGACACACTTGTGGAGCGCTGGAGGGAGCAGCGCTGGGTTGGAGCTGCGCTGCTGGGGAGGAAGAAGAAGGACACGAGGGAGGAAGGAGGAAGGGAGGAGGAAGGGAGGAGGAAGGGGGAGGAGCGCCAGGGGTACTTACCTGGCTATGGTGGCAGCCATCTTCATCACCTTGGTGGGCGCTGCAGCAAGGAGTCCCCAGCAGGGGGGAGCTACACCAAGAAGCTTCAAGGCAAGGCTGGGCATGGAGGCCTGAGCGGGAGCAGCCATAGCTGCTCTGGGTTGTCCTTTGGACGTCGGTGCAAGGCCTAGTAGTCCGCCATAGCCTCGGCCTATGTGTGTGAAGAGTGGGGGAGGCAGCCATGGCTATGGTGGACCTTGAGTGATACCTGCAGTAGAAAAGGGACTCGGACATGATTCTGGACCAGTCATTCAACATTGTATTATTATTTCTTGTATGAATAAGAGAAGGGGGAGATAAGGAGGAGGAGATTGTTGGGCGAAGAATAAGAGCCATGTCATTGTCTTTGCTGGTGTACATCTTCTTCTTCTTCTTTCTTACTTCTTCTTCTTCTACTCCTCTCTCACCTCTCAAGTTCATTCATTTCTTTCTACAATTGGATGGCATTGTACTTTCCAGTGGATGTGTATCTCGAAATTGGCCAGGGTCATAACAAATGAAGAAAACTTGTATCACGGATTCGTTCAAAAAGTAATAAAAAAAAAAAAAAAATGTTGAATTGTATGGAATACTTCCGTAGGACTTTCAGAAAATGGGCAGATTCAGTTGAAAATACAAGGCAACAATGAAGGGGAAACCCGAATCACATCTGTCTAACATGGAACAATACGGAGAATATAAGCATGTCTCCTGCGCAAGGATGACACAGACAAATCGAGAAATGGTGCAAATTTTGGAAAGGAAAAAAAAGGATGTACCAGAATTGACACAGCAACATAGAACAAAGCAGAGATAACAAAGCACCAACAACAAATGCACAAGATATTGACATTATTAAAGTTCCCAGTTCACCTCCAACCAATTACTAAGACAACGATGATGCAATGTCGGTCTCTCTCACATGTCCTACCCGCAGCTTACTCTACAGTCTGCTGATGTCCAACGCCACACAGCCCAATGCTGCTCCAACCAATCATCAGTAGAAGAATATACAATACTGCAAGTCCCTCGCCCTTCTTCATGCACCTCTCTCTCTCTCTCTCTCTCTCTCTCTCTCTCTCTCTCTCTCTCTCTCTCTCTCTCTCTCTCTCTCTCTCCCACACACACACACACACACGCTCGCACACCATTCACCAAGTAAGGCTGGCACCCAGCTCTCCTCCCGGCGCTCTCCTTGACTGCTGCTGCAAACACACAAGGCAAAAGTCTCTCCCCGTTGAAAGATGCCAACAATTCCCCAAGCCTCCACCTTGGTAGCGAGGCCAGGGTTCCTACCAGGCTAGACCGGCCTTTTTCGGTTCCTTCGGAGGTACCGCAATACTCACTGCCTGGCCAATATGCTAACTCCACCTGCCTACCATTTTCTAACTTTGGACGGGCCAATTTTTTTCCAGGGCCGAGGTTAGGACCTGGCAACTTTCTGCAGCATGTCCACACACTTTTGGCTTCATTAAGTTCCAATCCACGATCTCATACATCACCAGGTCACCTTACAGCTTGCGTCTACGTCACCATTTGCTCCAATAGGACGCTTCAAGGTCACATTACAGCTTGCATCTATATCCTTTTTCAATGGTCAAAACAAAACCCACCAGCCAAGCATTCAGGCAGGTTGCCACAGTAGTTTCCGGCTTTAGGGAGCTTAGATTCCTATGCTCTTTGTTTTTCCCCATTCCTTTATGCAAAATCCGAGATCAAAGCTGAGCTCAATGTTTCAATACGACATTACCTCTCACAACAGCTCTGCTTGATTTGACCACAGCGTTTCTCCGGAACAGCAATGGTGACTCGATAGACACTGTGGTCGCTGTTACTTTGGCACGATCGAGGAGGAGAACAAGAAGAAGAAACCGTTTGAGAATTATCTGGCCCAATTCGTTGTGATACTCTTCCTTCACAAGGGTGTCCAAGAATCTGCGTAACAAAACAAGGCAAGGAAAACACATTCAATTGATCATGATTCATGAACCACAGACGAAGGAGAGGGAGAGTTTTTCAGTCGATCACCATTAAGTCTACCAAGACAATAGAGTGTTCTAGAGTTAACATGTACTGGACTTACCACAAGGGTTGAGGAGTTGAGTTTCACACCCAACTAGTAACAACCAGTGATCAGGGTTTAGGGTTTGGAAGTCAGAATTTTGGGCTGTGAAGCCCATGGGGAAGAGGACTAGTTCTTCTTTTTTTTTTACAAAAAAACAGAATGTGAGGCAGGCGATGCATGTGTAGTTCCGCACTAGGTGCCTGCACATCTGTTCGGTCACCCTACTTCATGTGCATCAAAACAAACACAGCCAGCGGAATCACATCCACGGTTCGCACCAACAGTTAGCACTCCCTGAGACGAACCACAGGGATTCCAGTCCACAACACCGCCCAATTCAGTAGCCCCCCAAGAGTACCCAGACAGAAAAACAGCCATACCATTGCATACCCTACTGGCTAAAGCACCCTGCACCCCTGTGAAACCTTGTGCTCCGTAAACCCACAGTCCGTGGAAATCTTACCCACAACACAAGCTCATTGAGCTCAGCTACGGAACCCCACCCACAACACCAGTAGTGGCACCCTGGTACCTCCACCGGGATATCACCCACGCTTCAGGCATAAAAGAAAGAGGGGACTCACCTCTAGGTCTTCATGATGAAGCATGAACAGAAAGGTACCCATGTATCCATCCGGGACAAGAAAATAAATAAATGTCCCAAACAAGACCCTGAGTACAAACCCTGAGGCCCTGTTTTTTATATGAAAAAAAAAGACCATATCTGAATAGACATCCGGAAAATAATGAAGCATAGCCTGCTACCGTAGTACAAACCCAATTCTAACCATGGGCCCAATCCTAGCCACTCCCAAAAAAAAAAAAAAGAGAGTATAGCCTGCTAGTGCAAGCCCAATCCTTGCCACTCACTACACCAAAGAGAAGATACTGCAAGACCGGAAGTGTATTATAAAAATTCCCTGAAATCAAACTACATCAGTATATGCTATATAGTATATAAGCTTTTTTTTTTTAAGGCAATGATAAGAAAACTGAAAACTTAAAGAGTCTGATCCGACAGTAGTACTTAGCTTAAGAGTCCCGTGTTTGTCGTAAGAGCAGTGGGCAGTCCCCAGGGAACGTAAGAAAAAAAATTGTATCCCACTGGAGTGCAGAGAACGGAGGGCTTACGTGCAAGGTGCCAAATCTTCTGGGTGAGATCTGATCCGCCGTTCCACGACCGCGTGCCGAACATGAAAAAACAATTGGAAAAAATAAACAACAGGTCCATTCTTTTTGCGGTAGGGAAGAGATCAAGCAGTGCTTGACATTCCCTACGAACCTCGCGGCAACCCTCACATGTGTGCTGCCACGCACGCAACCGTCCGAAAGGTTTGCCATTGCCACCGGAGCCCCCCACAAAACTGGAACAGTGTGGGATCCCATTTTTTTCACAATTCTTAAGCAAAGTAGTACCGTCGGATCAGACCCTTAGAAGAGCTTATGCCAGACCCCAAATGCATGTGTCAAATGTGCATTGTTCGTCTTCAATCAATTCTTCCCATTTTCCTGGTCGCCTCTGCTTCTCAGTCGTACCCCTCGTTTTCACCGTTTAACAACATATATGATCCCCCTCCCATTTTTTTTTCAAGAACAAAAGAAAAACTCCCACCTCTTCTTTTTGTTTACCTGTTGTTGCTCCCAGAGTAGTCCTTCGTCAAAGTCTCGTCTCCAAGAAATTTGTTCACCACAAACTGTTGAAGCGACAAGAAATTGAAATCACTCCCATCATATGACGAAGTTGATGTTGCTTCGTTCTCTGGACCCTGAGTGCCTCGGTTTGGGCCAGCGAGAAACTTTGGGCCACCGAGAACAGCCTCAACACCAAGACGGAGCCAGATAGGATTGTAGCTCATCAAAATGCGAACTGCCTTCTCCCTCAGACCAATGTCATTGACAATTGGGCAGCCATCTCTCATCACAATTCGCCCCTCATCAATTTGCTGCAGAAAAAAGGTTCAAAAAAGCCAAGGGACGAATGGGGGGGGAGATGGGAAAACGGCATGAAGGGGGTAAAGGGGGTCAACGGACGACAGGGATGAGGGGGGGGGGGGGTGGGTTGAACGGGGTGGGTTGAACGGGGTGGGGTGAATGTTTGTCAGGGGTGAAGGGGTGAAGGGGCAAAGGGGCAAAGGGGCAACGGGGCGAAGTGGTGAAGGGGTGAATGGGTGAAGGTTAAAGGGTGAAGGGTGGGGTGAAAGGGTGAAAAGGTGAAAGGGTGAAAGGATAAGGGGTGATGAGGTGAAGGGACGACCAGGTGAGGGGGGGAAGGGGTAAGCAGCCACGCGTGGGGACATGAAAGTAACACAGAATGCAATAGTGAGTTAGAGAAGGAGCGAAGCTCTTTGTTTAGATCAAGCAGAAACCGTATGGGGATGCTGAACTGAATTGTGACCAAAAGTGAAGGTGAACAGGACTGGCACAGGACAGCACCTTTGCAAGTGCTAGGATGACATCAGGGCAAGAGACCAACAGCAAGCGCAACAACTTAGCAAGGAAGGCATGATGTTACGTTTTTCTGCAGTTTGGACTGTATGTAGCCCCAAAACTGTACTGTTGCCATGTTTCATTGATCCATTACACATGCATTATTCATGCATATCCACACACCATTTGTGCATTTATCCATGTTTTCTATGCAATGCCCTGGATTATTGATGCATTACGAATGGTAAAAAAAAAAACAATTCTAAGATCCCTATGTGCCATGCATGTGCAAGTGGGCCTGTTCCAGTGTTGCGAGTTATTTAAGATGTGCAAAGCTTCAGCAATATTTCCATCCACAACTTTTGTATCTCAGTGTGACAGACGACCGCCCATACAAGCAGTGCACTCCCCCACGAAGTCCATACACCTTTTTACAGCGGATGCACCTGCGACGACGGCTGCAACTGCAAGTTAAGCACCCATGTGTCAGACCACGCCGAATAAATTCATGTATGCATCCTTACCTTCAGACTAGGCAGTGGAGCCCTACAGTCATGCGGGATGATGTGTTTGGTTGACTCCGGACATTCGGATTTTTTTGAATTGATTTATTTAGTTATTTATTTATTTTAAACTATTTATTAATACTGTCGGCTGGGACTGCACAGTAGCCTTTCCCAACCGCACACCCCAGGCGAGCTGGGGGTGTACAGGGGCGACCTTCCACCAGTCGGGCCGCTCGGGGACCAGCACTGGTTCAAAGATAGGAACGTCGGGATTGATGTTCTATTCTGCTTTTGATGAAAGCACGGCATATTTGTGTACTCTCACACTCATGTCAAAAATTGAGCAACATAAGAGATGGTTTATGACACTTGGTTTAAGGTTGGCCAACGCCCTGAGGTTTAGAATTATGACAGACAGATTAGGAAACAGAATCTATAAGTGAACGCTGTGATTTACAACATCATAACCAAGAGACATAAACCAAATAAATCAGACAGTATACAACAGTGTCAGTCAGAGAGAGAGAGATAGAGAGAGAGAGAGGGCTAGAGGGAGAGGGGAGAGGAGAGGACAGCCCAGAGGCATCTATGCATCTCAGTAAAAATACAATTATGTCCATGGCTCTTGATAGCAGACATGACCACATACATTGACAAGTTCCTGGGCCGCACCGATCACTAAGTACACTAGATGACCTGTTGCGGCTTCGCTCGCAAAAACAAAACGGGAAGAAAAGAACAGGAAACAAAGAAAATGATTACCTTTAGCAGCGCGCCATTTACCGCCCCCCCCCCCCTACTTCTCCTTACACTCCTCCATTCCAACCCCATCGACTTCTCCTTACACTCCCCCATTCCAGCCCCCTCGACTTCTCACCCTCTCCGTTCCCACCTCCCCCCCCCAACATCTACAAGAAAAAAGAACAGAAAACCAAGAAAAAGTTCACCGTGCGCACCGCGCCATTAACACCCCCCCCCTTCTCCTTACCCTGTCTCTTATACACATCTAGATGTGTATAA